AAACCCTGAACCCCGCATGGTCCTGGGCCTGTATGGTTTGCAGGTGTTGCATCTCCTTCTGCAAAGGCAGCAGGATTTCCTCGAACAGATGAGGACTGTGGGTCATGAGCCTCCAAGCATCTGCTTGCTGCAAGAGCGATGGCATGACAACAGCTGCAGGGGCTTGCTCTGGCACTGGGGCTAGGGTCTCTGAAGAAGCAGGTTGCTGCACACACAGTTGCATGGGCACATCAGTCGACACCTCTGACACCGGCTCTTCGGACGACTTAGCCACCGCTTTGGCCTTCACCTTAGCCTTTGCCTCTGGTGCCTCGGCAACGACTTTGCGAGACTTCTTCTCTGCAGGGGCTGGTGTCTGAGATCGCTTTGTCGGCGCCATCAAAATGTGCTCACACAAGGGGCACCAGGCAGTGGCACGAGGAATCAAATGCTAGTGAAAAGATTTGAGTTGACATATAGCAAAACAGCATTTGAACCCTTCAGTTGAGCATGCGCAGCATTGACCAAACTGGGCGGGCAAGACGCGTCTTGCCCAGTGAGTTTAACACACTCAGCCACAGAAGCCACGCGAGTCTTCAGTCCAGCATATCTAAATCTTGATGATGCGATCGTCTGGGGGCCCTGCCATATCTCGCCCAGGGGTGCTGAGGTCCAACTGGCAGAGCCAAAGCTGGGTTTATGAGTTCAACATTCTCAGCTGGTACTCAACTCGATGGGCAAGACGCGTCTTGCCCTGCGAGTTTGGTGTGTGCTTTCAGGTCTGAAGTCAAAGGCTAAGTTCTGCACTGGGACCCCTTTCATGGCCTGCTCCAACGAGGACAATTAAATCAGCAAACTTCCGCAGAATCAAATACAATTTGAATCAATTGATCTGCAAACCTACCCAGAAACGGTGCGCATGGGTTGTCCGGGGCAGCTGAGGTGTCTGTGCGAACAAAAACGAATGTTGTGTATTTCCGCCACCAATGGGTACCTGTTTCGACCCACCACCAAGGGCAACCTCAATCTCAACCCAAGCGACTAGGTGGCAGACTATCCTGCTTTACAAGGATATCATAAACCATACCCAGGGCGCTACATCCAATATTTAAACTACCTAGGGCTCCACAGCCCATAAACACTACCTTTCACCTAGGGCTCTACAGCCCATACCTAGGGCTCTACACCCCATACCTAGAACTTTACAGCCCATAGCCCGTCTTAATCTTAGGGCTACACAGCCCAATATTCCACAGGGGGCAGCGCATCCTACAGAACTAATACAAATATGCTTGTATGCATGGGCATCTAAACATGTGTATATATAAATATAAGTAGAACTGTGGATATGGATGGGCATGTGACATGTAGAGAGAGAGCTACAGATGCATTTGTTTCTACACAAATCCCAGCATACATACCTATACAATGCAAAGAATCAAAACCCCCTGCAAACCCCCTGCATCAATTCCTCAGCCCCAAACCCCAAATTAAGGCAATGGCTTCCGGCATGCAGGCCTGCCTGCACATGAAAGCGGAGAGCGGCGGAGGGCCATATACATCTGGACCCACCTGCATGGAGTGCGACTAACCCCAGCAACTTAACCGCTTTGCCGCATGTGATTTAACTTCCATGGGGCATTGCCACTTGTTCCACTAAGAAATTATCTAAGAGGTTCTGCATCCAGTGTCGCAGTGACTCCATTATCGGCATCTACAAGACAACATTCTTATCATTTTCAGATACTATATCTAGAGTTTTAGAAGCGCACTTGAGGGTACCTAATTGGTTAGGAACCTTTGAAGGACACAAGAACAGTATACCATAGTATCCCCAAAGAAAGGAATCAGGTATGAGCTGCCAGGAAAGGGTTTTGGACTAGGGCGTATAATGAGGGGTTGGCTGGTTCGGAGTTTCCTGCACACATGCTGAATGAGAAAGTGGACGACAAGGAATTGGGTGGTATCCTGCTACAGATGGCATCACTGCAACTTTCGGGCTCATGTCAGTGGAGCTTAAAAACAGCTGAAGGAATGGATGCTGTTATGAACATTATTAAGGCAAGCGGGAACTATCTGCATAGTGGCTGGGTAAAAAAAGATTCCTTACTTCATTCGCTAAGACTACACGCGCAACCGCCCTGGTCAACCTCAATCTCAACCCAAGCGACTAGGTGGCAGACTATCCTGCCTTAGAAAGGTATCATAAACCATACCCAGAGCACTACATCCCATATTTAAACTACCTAGGGCTCCACAGCCCATAAACACTACCTTTCACATAGGGCTCTACAGCCCATAGCCCATCATCTTAGGGCTACACAGCCCAATATCCCACAGGGGGCAGCACTTCCTACAGAACTACTACACAGACTAGACCATGACCCTATAATAAACCGGGCTACACAGCCCTGACCTCAACCCTGACCTGCGCATTCCTAGACTCCAAACACCAAGTTGCTTTCCCTGACCGAAAGAAGCACTTTGCTGACTAATCTACCCCCTGGAGAGCATTGTGCTCATCCTGTAAAGAACTTGGCCAGCTCAGCTAGCGAAACTCGATGGTCACTGGGCTGCAAACAAGATAAAATCAGCTTGGACAAGCCAGGTCTGCCCCGAAGCCGCCGGGCCATCCTATCTGTAACCTCAGACAAGATTTCGGCATGGGCCACTTTCACCTGCATTCCAACATACTTCTGGGGATCTCGTATAAGTGGGATTGTCAGGTAGCAGAAGATCTCAAACAAAGTACAACCAAACGCCCAGACGTCCGCACCAGCTCCAATTCTGATTTTGACCTACCAGGGACAGCACTCTTTCCTACAGAACATGGGCGATGCTGGGAAACAGATTTTGGCTAGCATCTTAAAATTATATATTGCGAGCCTTGTCTTCACCTGAAACAAGGAGCTCAAGAGGTCTGTAGGGCAAGGTATACACCATGAATGGTAGCACAGTCACCGTGTTGCCATCTGTAATCTCCCGTGCGCAACCGAAGTCTGTCCATTTCACTTTTGGGCAGCTTGGGTTGCTTTGAGTCACAATGGCATTTCTCGGCTTCAGGTCCCCATGAAGTATGCGCTTGGAAGCCATGTAATGCATCCCAGCTATGAGCTGCACAGTCATCTTCGACCTTGCTTCCATCACCGAGCTGCTTGCTGTTTCCTGTTCTTGCTGAAGCGGGTGGTCTACAAGCCAAACACGGAGGTCTTGTTCCCCAAGCTCCAACAATATGGCGGCAGATGGCTGTGTCAGCAATGCATAAGCCGTGATGATGTGAGGGTGGCGGAGAGATGCCAAGAATTTGTATTCCTCTGACAGAACGTAAACTTCATGGCTCTCACAAGGCTGCTTCTTCTGGATTTTCAAGGCTAGGGACTCACCTGACTGCTCACAGAGAACTCTCGACACCATGCCATTGCCCCCGCTGCCCAGGTGGTCTTGCATTGTGAATTTCAATGCCCCGAACTGAAAAACCCGAAACACTTCACACTCATGTCGATCATGAACAGCATTGGCTGAATCGTCACAGTGCTCTGTCTCCTCTGCAGACAGCTCCCCAGCGGCCTGTGGCAGCTCCTTGCATCTCAGCTGCTTGACAGTGCTACGCTGCTGTTCGTTGTGTCTCACAACCTCCTTTGCCTGCTTTGTGTAACGGTCTCTGAAAAACTGATCAGATCGCCTAAGATGTTCCAGGGAGGAAGCTAAAACAGTTACTTGACTTCAAGCAGTAATAGTGACATGGTGATACGGATACCGAAATCTCCTGGAGCAAATCTAGCCCACAACACTGTACTGAATTCTGCACATGAACCATTTCTGCAAAAGCCATGTCTTGTCCTTGCATATGGTCTTGCAGCGTAGCCTCCTGGTCGACTTGGTACTGACCCCAACCTGTGAGGCTTCCTGACAAAACAGCCCAAACGAGCTTGGCGCCCGGAGCACACCAGCATCCTCGTTGCTTGCTCGGACCATGGCGACAAAATACAAAACTTGGGTTTGCAGTGAATAAGTTAACAGTTTCCTGCCAGCTCGACACCTGGAACTACACTACCTGTGGGTTACCACTGTCTTACATGCACACATCATGGAAAAATCCGGGTGCCATGGCCATGGATTGAGTACTGGCAGAAGTCACGACGACTATCCTCACCATGTGATACTGAGCATGAAATGAATGCACAGCACAATGCTTGCTCCTGTAGTTCCAGCAAGGCAACCATCTCCCAGCATGGACACAACCAGATTGATATTACCAGGCCTGCTGCAACAATTCAAGTCAGCTGCTGGCTGAGGACACAAGCTGTCTTCGGCATGGGCGGACCTCCCTCCAGCATCGCGGAGACAGCCAAAGCCAGGAACGGAGCCACCTGATGGCAAACACACAGCGCAGCTTTGAGATTCCAGGTACCGAAAAGGGAGATTTCACCAATCTGGGCCGGTAAGAAAGGGTCTCGGTACTTGTTCAATTCTATTGCGCTGAAGCTTTATTCTCCACCACCAGAAATCTTGCAATCCAGGGCCTGTGCCTTTGAAAGCCTTCCCGAGAATACAAAGGAACCTGAAGCAAGCCAATCTCAACCGATCTGAGCCTGTTTGGGCTTCGGGTTCAGGTCTGTTCGGGTTGCAGATTCTGGCGCAGAAGTGTTTGGGCTTGGAGTGTGTCCCACAGGAGTTCCAAAGATCTTTAAGGAGAGAGCGGGGGAAGGTTGTCTACAGTTCCTACCCAGTTACCTGATAAGAAAGCGCAATGTGTTTCATACAATATCAGACTGGAGATGGTCTGCACACTCACAGAAGTTGAAGAGGGCCTTGGCCAGGGAGGCACGGTGGCTACATCGATTCTGGATCCTGAGAGAGGGTTCTGCTCACATACTGTGAGTTGATCTTGCCACTATGTACAGGCGTTTTTTTCGTGGAGCGAATCTATTCTGGAGAAATGTATGCGCGGGTCATTTAATAAGAGTCTCCTAGCATTGCCCCATTGCACCCAGACCAGCCATGTTCTTTTTTTCCAACCGTCAGCTGCACGATGCACCGCTTGGCAATGGCCCATAACTTCGGCTACAGATCTGCAGCAAACCCTCAAGATCCAGCTCCCTCTTACCACCTTCCGTAAGTGAACACACAAGCTGGAAGGATCTGTCTGGCCATTTCAGCTCTTCTGGCAATGCACCTCTCTCAACCATGAGCCGTGGTGTCTTCACTCCCCCTGTCTTCATGAGAGAGCTTCTGAGTGAGCACTGCTCCAGCACATGCGTGTGCTTCGGGTATGCTCTCGCGAAGTCACTCTGTATGTAGAACAGGTAACGCTGCTTGTGCATGGTGCCCTTGAAATGGGTGCAGCGGTTCTCCAAGTCTATCAATCGGGCACCCTCCAGCCGAGCAAGCAAGGCCTCAGCGGAGCTTGATGTCACAGATGGAACCAGCACGACATCCGCCTTCCCAGGAAAGGTGCCGATGATGACTGGCTTCGGGACCCATGCCTGCGCTGCTTCCGTACCTTTGCGGATGATGACCACTGGCCTGAATGGCATCTCAGGCACCTTCTCAGGCAAGGCTTTGGTGTCTGACTTCGGCAGCATACGATTTCCCTTGGAGTCTACAAAAGCAGCCGGTTGCCCAGGAATGGCAACTATCTGCGCCTGGGCCCTCTTCTCGGCAACCTCTGCCTGCTTGACCACTGCTTTCACGCCTTTGCTCCAGTCAAGGCCGCCGGCAGCATC